AACAAGAGACAGACAAATTGGTAACATGATTTACATGGTTCAGGGATCGAAGTTTATAAATAAACGTCATGTAAACCAAATTCGAAAACGCTATGAAATCGTTGTCGACAGGGATCTCCTAGAAGATGACACTATGGACGTCGTGACACGTTTGAGGTTCTAATACCGCAATTATTGCCAGAGCTCAGAAGCCCCACCCACCACGAAGAAAAAGGAAATATACGGAACGTTTAGAAATTAATCCGATAAGAAAAAGACATTGAACATCTTTCATTTCATACCATGTCCACAGAAAAAGGAAAAAAATAAAAAATCCCATCTCCTAACTTGTAAACTTTGAATTGCCATAAAAGCACAATACGTATTTATTAGAAATTATTTACATTATAAATTACCATTAAACTTATCCAATTTTTCATTATTTAGGAATAATGAATAGAGACCTTAATAAAATCGGATTGTTGAAAACACGTAAAATTTTTGTCGTAAAACTAAAAAAAAATTTGAACGTAATTCTTGTATATAGCTTTTTCAAATTAGTTATTTCTGATATTTTTTTTTTTTTGGTATATTTGGTTGAATAAAAAGTATTTTATGGTAATTATATAAAAAAAAGACTCCATACAAGGCTGTAAAGAGGGGTACTCCCTCTAAAGAATCTATGTTGGAGTCTCCCGCCTACTATAACATTACTAGGAGAGAAGGACTTGGGGGAACAGTCGAATAGATTGAACGCAGGGTCAACAGACACACACTCACTACTCTTCTGTTGTCCTTACTGTTTAATATATGATATATCTGTAACAGTTCTTTTGTTATTTCTTTAAGCATTTACTTGGTCACAAGAATTATATTTACTAATAAACTATATATGGTATTGTAAAATTAAAATATATGAATGTAATTATGCATTTATAAACTATTTTATTTATGATCAAATAATAGATATATAAGTATGCAAATTATTTTTATAATTAATTATTTTTTAAGTAAAATATGAGACAATGTCTACTAAAAATTCTCTTTTATTTCTTTGATTTAATATTTTTTTTTTTTCAGAAACTTAATAATATATAACTTTTCATATAAGCACAAAGGATATGGAACATTTAAAGATCTACATGTTCTCGTTTTTCTTCTTAGTTTCCATTTTACTGTGGGTATTGTATTACTTTCTTTTAAATGCCCAAAATATTTTGATAGGGATGTTTGGTTGCGATACTTAATATTATTGAAGGGAGTCAGATGTTGATTCCATCTTAGTTTAAATTCATTTTTTGTACATAAAATATAAAATTTCACAAATTTAGTGTTCTCACATGTTGTTTTAAATGCCTAAAAATGTTAGAGTTATCACTGAAATGTAGTGACAAGCGACGTGATAATTGCTTATGTAAGCCGAAAGCTTAGATAGGATTAAAAAATATGTATAAGTATTGTGATTTTCTTTCTTCTTTTAATGCCAATGTTATTAAGATTATCAGACGATATGAAAAGAATTTACATAAAATAAATAGACAAAACTTGTCTATATTATTTAATGAAACACACACACACACACACACACACACATACATACATATATATATATATATATATATATTGTCACGTAGCCACGATTTCATTAACCATATAGGTGTTAGGCTAAAAAGCACCCCAAAGCAAAATCTTAAATAAAGAGAAAATTAGTTAGATATAAAAGAAAAATAAATAAATGAATTAATAAATAAAAATAGAAATTTAATCCAATGTTTTCGACTTGCGAGCGAATATATTCTATGATCAGCCATGCACCTCCTTTTCTCTTCACAAATTCTTTCTCTCCTTATCCTCTCTTCCACCCACAAGCCAAGGGCCCGTGAACTTCGAAGTGACCCGACGCGAGAATGACCTGGTTCCAAGATTTCGCAGCTATCAGGCGGCTGACCATAAGTGAATTCCAGGCACCATCAGGGTCTCCTGCTGCGATTCACGTGATCGGAACGTACTGAGCATGTGTTGAACTTTTGGCCATCACACAAGCACTGGGTGATTTGCGCCCTATCCTCCTGCGTACCAGGTCAAGGACGAAGGGAACCCACGTGACTGTCTTTGGGGACAGCGAAAACCAAAAAGGGATTTCTAGTTTCCCTCGACTAGTGGTGAAAGGACTGTTATGGAACTGATCGACCCAACCAAACGCCTGTATGAAATGCTGTCGATCCTCGAACACTTGTGAAAAGAAAAGGAATCCAGGAACATTGTCGGCCGGCCAAGATATTGTTTTATCATCAGAACTCTCGCTTCGGCGAATCAAAACTTTATGTGAAGATATCAACCCGACAGCAAGATAAGTTGATTTTCTTGGCTTGATCTGTTTTCATATATGTATGTATTCGCTCGCGCCTTCTATTCTTGAATGATCTCCTACCCCTTTGTTGAATGAATGTTTTTTTTCTTCTTTCTTTATTTCTTTATATATATTTATATATAAATGTTATATTTTGAAACCCATCGTCTTGTGTCTGTTCTTCGTTGATTCCCTTGTGTTGCTTCCATTTCTGAGTGAAGACCGAGAAAGGAACCCACGTTTTCCTTTTTTTAAAAAACCCGTGGTTCATCTATATGCTACAAGTTCGTAACAATATATATATATATATATATATATATATATATATATATATATATATATGTTTCCTAAAATACGACTGACAAGGCACTGCGATTAAGCATTTTATTTAATTTTTCTTTTGTTCTGACAAGTGTTTCTTTTCTGGACACAAAATTTGTAAAACTCTCTTAGAAATATCATAAATAAACATAACTCTAGTCAACCATAACAAGAAAATGAAATTAATTATCTACTACCAACAATTTAAAGCAAGTGACCTTATCTTCAACAATAACAACGTAACTGCAAAATCTAAAATACAGATCCAATATTACTTATGAGTTCACATACCACTTAAGAATCAGTGTTCCTTATCAGTCCAAACTCATAAAAGATTATATCAGTCATATAACTACATGCCTATCTAGACGACTCACGTTACGCCTATCTAACTTTAGCTCAATTAGAACTCATCTAACCACACTCGGAAACCTACCAACCTCTATCAAACAACATACTGGTAGAAAATACAAGCATAATAGCCTCATCCACATGTAAAAAAGATTAAAATACTAAAAGCATTAATAATAAAAAAGGAAATAATAAAATTAATTATGAACACGACCAAAACTGCTGACCGTGTTCCGTAAGTAAAACTTTCCTATACCTTCAGATACATACAGAAAAAGAAGCCCACACATTCAGTTAAAAATAAAAAAAATAATACCTAAACGAATATCCGAAAGAGCTCAGATATGGAGAACTTTTGGAAAATTTTTACATATATTTTTTGTCCAAAAAAGAAAACACTTGTACGAACACAAGAAAAAATTAAATAAAAAATTTAATTTCAGTCATCTCTAACGAAACTTGTATAAAGGAGGGATTGCTGCCAAAGTACGCAATTATCATATATACTGGCTGTAACAGCAAAATTGTCCAAATCATGTAACATCAAAATTGTCCAAATCCTGTAACAGCAAAATTGTCCAAATCATATAACATCATGGGATAATTAAACATCCCACAAAATATGTAATATCTAAAAGAAAAGAGAAAAAAACATACAAAACGAATAT